CTCTGCTCCTATTAATAAAATTGCCTTGCTCTTGCTAACTAGTGTGACTCTAAACAAGGGGCGGCAACACATGCACACCTGTTCAAAATGAACACCTATTTCAGCTAAACAAGAAGGCAGAGAAAGAGCAAGGTACTCTTCTTGACAAGTTTCGAGTGCCACATCTGACTGCTACAGAGAAAGATGGTTATAAACGTACATATTACTCTTTTGGGACAGTTCATGCAGTGGAGGGTAGCGAATTTGAAGCAAATGTCACTGACTTGAATAAGTTCTGTGACGTGAGTTTATTGACAAATACAAGAGCTTCGACCTTTTCTACTAAGAACTAATCATCCTTGGTACTTTGACTGTACCTTCTTTTAGGTCACACTCCGGATAGGTGATTCAGTCTCGATTTTAAGGTTCTTCCTCACGGTTATGCAGTTTCGAAGTGAAGACTTCGATAATGAAACTGAATTTCGGGAGATAGTTCGCAGGGTCAGCGTTGAATTTTATGTTCCAAGAAAAACTGCATAGATGGCGGTATCAGAAGTGCTAGTTGTTCGAAGTGGCATGAAAAACTTATTTCAGCTCTCTCCGAAAGTCCCAGTGCGAGTGCCTGCCAGGCGCGATCCCAGAAGCAGAGAGAAACCGAGCGAAGAATGTAAACCTCATAAGGACCCCAAGGCTTATGGAAGATTGTTTTTTCACGCTGATGAAGCCAAGAGATCAGTGGTTCGTGGCATTTCAAATCTTCCCATATTACGTTCATAGTTCCAGTTTTTTTCTAATTCTAAATCTATTTCGCGTGGCTTTCGCCTATCTGAGCGGCCTTAGGCCTCACCAAGGAACGGCTCCAAATTTTTACGGAACTTCATATCGATGATGTTGTGAATGCTAATTGCGAGTACATAGATTGCGCGCAAACGCATTCATTTTTTTCTTCGGCCGGTGCTTTCACTCTGCTTTTCGACACTCCGCGACGCAGCCGAGTATAAAGTTATGATTACAAGTATCGTAGCAGGCGTCGCAACAATAGTGGGCCTTGGTTCGGGCAAGTGATATGGGTGGGCTGGAGACATCGACGGCGGGTGAACGGAAGTGTTAACAGCTGATAATGTCTTATACTGCTGCTCTCACCTTTCTTCAAGGTGGTCAAAGTTTACAATCTACCGATTATTGAGCTTGAAAAGGTCTTGCTAAATCTGGAAGGTAATTTTGAAATGGATATTCCTTCAGCGATCGTAACTTCTATCAGCAAGAAAACTCCATGGGGAGCTCACACAGGTGTTTACCTTCTCGTCGCTGTTCTTCCGAATTTCCGACGACCGCGATGAAAAGAGGATCTTGATTTGATTATCGAGATGACTTGAATAATCAATTTTCGTATTTTTCGACAGAGCAGTGGTGCTTTCAGGAGTAGGTTAAGCTGCTAACCAGGAAAGGTCATCAGGCCAGCCCGACCATTTCCAATGAGCTGCACACCC